GCACTCACTTGCAGGACCCTTAGAGAGCAGCTCCTCCCACCCCATCCACTGGAGTCGAATCAGCTGGTCAACCTGAGTCAACTGTTTCTGGGGGAACGGGTGACCCAGGGACCTCCCCCTGCCCCCCAAGCAGACGGTTCTCCTCACTCCGCGGGGTCCACCTTCTATGGGAGGGAGTTGCATTTTCCTTTTTCCTTTTTCTCCAGGGGTGCCAGCCTTGCCTGCCCCTCTAGAAGATGGGGCTGACTCTGATGTGGCTCCCCCACCTTCTGGAGCTGGGGGAGCACGTGGTGAGCAGAGTGCAGGGACACCCCAAGGACCTAGGCTGGGGTAGGGTGTACGTAGCCATGCCCCTGGGGAGGTGTAACAGGGATGGGCGTGGATACCAACCTTACTTTGGGGGAAATGTCTCCCTTTTCACGTGGACTCCACAGGATGCAGCCCGTGATGCGTGTGTATGTGTGTGTGTGTGTGTGTGTGTGTGAGAGAGAGAGAGAGAGAGAAACTGAGGCTCGGAGAGCCTTGCACACCCAAATTCCAGCACAGGGCTGAAGGCGTTTGCGGAGCCTGCGGTCGATCCCAGTTCCATCCCCCGCACCGGCTATACCCACCCCCACCTTCCTCCCATCAGCTCTGCCAAAGCACTGAGCTAGGAGTCAGCCCTGAGCACAGAGCAGGGAGTAGTCCCCAAGAGTGACAAGGACGGGCGCAGTGGGCGTGGGCGGAGTGGAATCATGGCCAGGACCCCTGGCTTGGGTCAAGAGACAAGGCCGAGACAGGAGTCTTGGGAGCATGGCTTTGGGGGTGGGGGCGTGAGATGGCTCCCTGCACTAGGGGTCCAGGCTACCCAGGGGGTGCATGGGGCAAGGGAGGAGCAGGCAGAAGGCAGAGGGAGGTTGGCGGGCGTTTTCTTGCAGTTTGGGGTGGTCACAGGGTGGTTGGGAATCCTCAACCCGCCCAGTCCTCCTCCCCCCACGCCCCTCCCCCCCAACACCGGCTCACTCCAGAACCCCCGATATACACCTGCACAGCTTTGGAGACTGAATTAAGATAGCTACACAGCTAGGAACAATTGTTTAATAAAACTTTTTTTTTTCCATGTTTTCCATTACATGTAAATATATCAGTTTGGCATCTCTATAAAAACGTTTGAAAATGGTGCAAAAGGTTCATTCTCGCTGAGAAAGCCATTGACAAAAAATATTCACACTTCACGAACGATTTGAAAAATGGTCTTCTTTCAAAGTTGCTTTATTAATCTGAAATCTTCTGGATTTATCAAAATCTAGGTCTGTTTTATCCCTCCCCCCCCGTATCTCCCCCCCCCCAAAAAAAAGAAAAAAGCACTAAAGAACATTGATATTCACAAGATCCAAAGGCAAACAGGGCAGGGGGAAACCGAGAAAGGCTTTGTCCTTTCGTTTTTTTTGTTGTTTGTTTTTCCCTGAAAATAATAAAGAAGAACCACCGTCACTGGAGCTAAGTCACATCAGCGTCCAAAGAACACAATGGGATTCGTTTGACTTTTTGACTTTTGGACATCAAGTGCCATTCTTTATTGGAAGCAAACCCAAGGGTCAGTAAAAACAAAGTTAAAAAGGAAAAAGAAGAAAAAAAAAAAGAAAGAAAGAAATGGTACCTGAAAAATAAATTATTTCATAGAAAACAAATCAATAACTTAAAACACACTAATTTCGGTACAAAAAGCGCTACCCAGCTACTGTACAACACGGGGAAATCAACGGGTACAGCGGACCCCCCCCCCATCTCCAGAGCAAGTCACTGTAAACATAACAGCACATGGGAAAGCGGCCCCCCACGACCCCCACCTGCGGACGCCCCTTCTCTTCCTCTGGAAGAAAGTCTAGCCCCCTTGAGAGGGATGATCATGGTCCCAGGCGCCTCCCGGTCCTGGTCATAACCCACAAGTTCCAGTCGGACTGGCTTTGGGGACCTCCCCTCCGCCTGGCCCCCCGTTTCCCGCCAGCTAGATCCCGAATAGCTATGGGTTGGTGGACGATCAGGAGTCAGAGGCGAAAGTAAGGGTTGGCATGGGGGGGACACGGGCTTTGGGGGTCTACGGCTTTTCCCCCACCCCTGGAAACCTCCCTGGCCAGCCACTGGGTGGTAGGCCTGGGAGGCAAGGCTTCCTGGGGGAGGGGGCTCATGTGACCTCAGACGCCTGGGGTCCTGGGGAGGGGGGGGGGCGAGGCTGCAGTTAGTGACCACAAAGGTCCTTGACACTTCTGTCCTGCCCCCAACGCCCCCAGAACTGGAATGAAGCTGCCTTGGGCATGAAACGGAAGAGCAAGCTGAGGCCATCCCGGACCCAGCCAGTGCGGGTGGCCACTGGTCTGGGGGGGACCTTAGACACGCCTCGAAGATGTCTTGGGGACTTCTTCGAGACAAATCAGCTGGGTACTGGATTGAAGTTATTGCCAATGACTGTCAGAGGGTCCCGCTGCTGGCTCAGTCCACGGGACCCTCCCACCCCACTGGTCTAAATACTAAAGGTTCCAGGGGAGGGTCCTCTGGGGAACCAACAGGGTGGAACCCCTTGCCCTCGCACCCGGAACCACCTGCGAGCAGCCACCGAAGCCTGGCTGGTGGCCGTCCCACTAAGAGTGGCAGATGCCGTGGTCACGAAGCATGTGGCTGGAGGCTCAGTAGAGCAGTATCTTGGATTGCTGGAGGGGTCCGGGGGGGGGGGGGTCCCAGGAAGGGGGCACGGGGGGGGGGGTGGTGGAGGGGGGATTCCAAAGGACCAGGAGCAGCAACGCAGCCACACGCCAGGGACAGGAAGTCACATAGGCCCAAGGCAAAGTCACTGGAACCTCTTTGGTATTGCTGCACCAAACCACGCGGCCCGTCGTGGAACACGGCCTCGGTTGGGTTCTTGGCCAGAGCCCCCAAGAAAAGGCGAGAACTGGTTTCGCGTGAATACAAATAGGATTTCCTCCACGGAAAAGCCCAAGGAAGAAAACCAGTTCCTCTTGGACGGGGACTTAAAACACACGCACACACGCAAGCATGCGCGCGCACACACGCACACGCACACGCACACACACACACTTTCCCGCTAGCAAAGCAGCCCAGAGCAGAGAGGATCAGATGGGGGTGGAGGGCAGCAGGTGGCCAGGTGTGGGGCACCCTGACTTTGAAAGGGGGTGTGTTGCTTTTCGGGAAGCCAAGTCCTTCCCTGCTTTCACAAAGGCCAAACGACTCGCAAAGTGGGGGGGACCAGGAGGCGGCTTAGAAGTGGGGAACCCGGAACTAGCTAGTGGGCTCACAGGGCCTCCTCGGAGCACCCCAGAGGCTGTGGGGTTTCCTGGAGAGACACAATTCTGTGGGTACCCCAGGAACGATGAGCTGCGAGGGGCCTTCCAGGCTGGGGCCTGGGGGAGGGGGTGGGAAGGGGTGAAAGGGTTGGGGACCGAAGGGGTCAGGCAATCTCAGAGGGTTCCAGACAGTGGCCGAAGCTGCCTGGAGGAGTCTCCTGCCGCCTCAACACAGACACCCGGAACAGACAGACGCGCCCCGCTCCGCAACGGCGACCCCAAATTACAGCCCTCGTTCCACATCTCTGGCCTAAGACACCAAGTCCGGCTCCTGAGCTGGTCTGACTTTGGTTTCCCTGCCGGCAAGTGAGTTAGCAAAACCGGAGCTCATTCCCGAGGCGTCTCCTGTGCCGCCCCCGCCCGCCCCCCCCACCCCCAAAGACCCTGAAGTCCCAGCTCTGTGGCCGCAGGGTCCGCCAGACCAGACTCGGCCTCCCTAAGACCTGACCAACGCTCTCCCGCACGCACGCTGGCGCCTCTGGACCTGCCCTAGCCAAAAAGAAAGAAAAGGTAAAAACAAAACCAAAACAAAACAAAACTCGAGCAAAACGAAATCAAATTTAATGGTCTTAAATGCAAAAGTAAAAACAAACAAAAAACACAAAAAAAAGCAAAAGAAAATTAACAGAACAGAACAACCCCAAATGGCAAGGCAGTTTGGAAGAGAACTTTTGAAGAGGGTTAATCTTTAAAACTACAAATCAAAGGTTACTTGTGGGTCTTTTTTTTTTTTCTTTCTCCCCCTCGGTTTTTGTTTTTTGTTTTTTTTTGGTTTTTTTTTTTTCCTTTTCTGTGGGTGTTAATAGATAACTGGTAAGAAGAAGTAACTTTTTCTGCCGAGTGTTCATACGAAAGCCACATTTCAAAAACAAAAGTCTGACTAAAATAGAAAAAGGTCTGGCGCGAGACGGGATGCGTGAAATACGACCAGATGCTGGCGCGGGGCTGCGGGCCCAGTTCCGTGACCCTGCAACAGCGCGCTCAGACGCAGGAGAATTGAGGGCGGACAGTGTCGGGGTCCTTCGGGGGTGGGCTGGGAAGGAAGGAAGGAAGGAAGGAGGGCAGGAAGGGCACCACATGCAAGGCGTGCCTGGAAAACGGGGCGGGCAGAGGAGCCTAGAGCCGCCTCTGGAAGATTCTGGAGTTTCCCGGAAACTCTTTGGTCAGTTCCATGGGCACCTGGGCTGACGCCCGCCGCCGCCCCCCTCCGCCTCTGCCCCCCAAAGGCCTGGCCTGGTGGTGGCCCGGGTGGCCGGGGCTGAGTGAGCAAGGCTGGGGGTGGCGGGGGCCGGGCGTTGGCAGCTGGACGGGCCTGGAGGGCCGGTTTCCGTCCGGCCAAGACTCTGCTGCTCGGGGAGCAGGGAGGGGGCGAGCAGTGGGGAGCCCCGTCCCCGCTGCTCTTCTCAGCCGCCCCCTGGACTGCTAAGGGTGGAAGCCGGCTACAGTGCTCTCGGGTCGGGTGGTGGGTCTGGGGGTGCCAGCTCGAGGGGGCAGCGAACGAGACACGTGGTCGCCGCTGAGAAGTCCCGGGGGGCTGCTGCCGGGCCCCTCGCCCAGGGACGGGTTAGTCAGTCACTGCGGTCAACTTGGGCTTCGGTTCAATAGAGAGTTTCAAGGAAATAACTTAAGAAACTTAAACTTGGTCTAAGGCGGGAGTCGGGGGGGGGGGGGCCGGGAGGGAGGGGGGAGGGGGGTTTCAAACATTTGAACATGTCGGTGCATCCCAGAGTATAAAAACCTTTTTTTTTTTTCTTTTCACGTCTCATTTTCGACTAAGACAAAACACTTGGTGAAAATGAAAATTGGCGCAAAATGAGTTGTACACTAACGAAAAAAAGTTTTCGACTTCTTCACTCTTAATTATCTATTCCGTACAAAAAAAAAAAAAAAACGAACGAACGAACGAACAAACGAACAGAACGAAAACAAAAACAAAAACAAAAAGCGTGAGCGCGTTATTTGTGGGACTTGTTGGTCTTGAAGGAGACCTGCAAGATCTTGTCCCCCAGGCGGTACCCGTTCAGGCTCGCTATGGCCATGGCCGCTTCTTCATAGTTTGTCATGGTCACAAAGCCGAACCCTTTGCACTTGTTGGTGTTGAAGTCGCGGATGACCTTCACGTTGGTCACTGCGCCGAAGGGGCCGAACATCTGCCAGAGGATGCCCTCGTCGGCGTCCTGGCCCAGGTTGTAGATGAAGATGCACCAGCCCGAGGAGGCGTTGCCCGGGACGTTGACCCCGGAGAGTCCGCTCATGTGGTCCACGCCCATGGGGGAGAACCTGCGGCAAACGGAGCGCGCGGGGTCGCGTCGGGGCCCAGGGCAGGGCGAGGCCGCCCCCCTCGACCACGGCCAGGCTTCCCTCGAGAAGCTCCTGCTCGAGCCCCGCGAGGCATCACTGACGGGGGAGGAGGGGCGGGGGAGGCGCAGAGAGGCCCGTGCAGGCAGGGGGTGCCGGGCACCCCCGCCCGGTGCCCGTCAGTCAGCCGCCCACCTTCCCGCCTCGTGCCAGCTCGTTCCTCAGCCTGGGGGTGGCTCCAGGTGTGGGTGGGGGCCTAAACCTCGCCGTCCTCCAGGTTTCCCGCCGCGCCTTCCCCTCCAACCCCGAGTGCCCCCCCCCGCTCCCCGCCAAGGCCCACCCCAGTGCAAGAACCTGCAGGGGGCGCGGGGAGAGCAGCTCGGGCTCAGAACCTTCCAGAAGGGTCAGGGCCGGAGGAAGGGCCGGCAGCTGCGAGCTCACCTCGCTCTTTACATCCCATCTCGGGACACCCAAGGGTCTTCCCTCAAGGCCTGGGGGTAAGGATTTGGGGTAACTGGCGCCGTGTGGCCCCTCAGGTCAGCGTTTCTCCCTCACAGGCCCCCCGTGGGACCCCCCCAGGTAAATCCCGGGGGCGCCAGGTAAAAACTGCTTCAGTAGGTGCCCAATGGTAGGACAGGGGGGTCCCAGAAAGGAGAGGAGGCCAGAAGAGGGCCATGGAGGGGCAAGGGTGGATGACGACTGTTCTACCAGTTTCTGAGTTCCTACAAGCGTCGGCGGCCGATAAGGGGTCCCCCGAGCTTCTGTTCCTAAAACAAGCCAGCCTCGGGAAAGCGGGTGTCTGCCGGGGCCCCTCCACAGCATCTCTCCTACAGACTGGGGAGCCCCTTTTGTGCTGGGTTGGGGGAACCCAGCGGCAGGTCCGGAAACAGACCCCAGGCATTAGTGGGCAGGGACAGACGGCTCGGGGGGGCTTGGCGAGCGCCTCCTGGAAACCCCTGGGTCCTTGGAATGGGGAGACGACTTGAGGCTGGGCTGGTTTTCCGGGAGGGCCGGGGGGCGGGGGGCGGCGCCCCTGCTCCATCAGCCCTGACATCCCTGACCACAGATCAGAGGGGACCAGCTGTCTACGCAGGGGGCGCTCCTGACACCCCTCCTCGTCCGGGCCTTCTTTCTACCTAGCCTGCTTCCTGGGGGCGCCTCCCTTTTCTTTTCTCTTCCTCCTCTGCGGACCCGCCTTGGTTTGCCAGAGTCCTGGGAGTCATTCTCAGCTGCCCACACTGTACCCTGGCCTGTAAACCTGGCTTCAGCACCCCCCCCCTTTTTTTTTTTTTTTTTTTTTTGCTTTTTGGGTCAGACTTGGTGATGCTCAGGGGTTTCTCCTGGCTCTGCGCTCAGGAATTACTCCCGGCAGTGCTCAGGGAACCCACACGGGATGCTGGGGGTCGAGCCCGGGTTGGCCACGTGCAAGGCAAACACCCTCCCTGCTCCAGTCCCCCCCCCCCACACACTTCTTTCTTATCCTTTGGGTTTTGGGTTACAACTGGCTACGATCAGGGCTGACTCCTGGCTCTGTGCACGGGGATCGAACCCAGATTCCCCACTTCCTATTGCTCCAGCCCCAAAGACCCCCTTCTTTTGGCCCAGACATGCTACCCCGGCCCCTGGCCTGGGGATGAGAAGCCGCCCGCTCCTAGCTGGGGAGTCTGAGGAAGCCTCGAGAACTCCCTCAAGGCACCCTGGATGGATGCTGACAATAGGGAACCAACGGCAGCAGGCGCTCCCGCCCTCCCGGGAAGAACTGCCACCCTCATCCGCAAGGGCCTGGCAAGGGCCTGGCCAGGCTCAGCACGCCTGGGATGGAACGTGAGGCAGGAAAAGCATCTGTCTTGGAAAGCACAGGGGGTCGCCTTGGGGGTCCAGGCCCGCCTCGAGCTGAGGCTACTGAAGGCCCCTCAAAAGTTCTGGAAGGAGTCCACTGCCCTGCCTCTGGCTACTCAGCCAGAGGACCAGGTTTCTTTTTTATGGTTTCCTGACCACCCCGACGGTGCTCAGGGATCACTGCTGGTCGGGCTTGGGAGAGCCTATGGGGTGCCGGGGATCGAACCCGGGTCGGCCGCGTGCAAGGCAAACGCCCTCCCCGCTGTGCTCTTGCTCCAGCCCAAGAACCAGTTTTTTGTTTCTTTTTTTTTGCTTTTTGGGTCACACCCGGTGATGCTCAGGGGTTCCTCCTGGCTCTGCACTCAGGAGTTACTCCTGGCGGTGCTCGGGGGACCCTATGGGATGCTGGGAATCGAACCCGGGTCGGGCTGCGTGCAAGGCAAACGCCCTCCCCGCTGTGCTCAAGAACCAGAGTTTTTCACCTCATGCTCACTTGGTTCTCTGCCCCCTCCCCTGCGCTGTCAGTGACTGGGGTGCTCGTTCTGCAGGCGAAGTACCCCTGCCTCCCGGAAGCCGGCCCGGGTTTCTGATCCCACTTGAAGCCACCACCAGGAAAGGTACGAGCTGTCACCGAGATACCGGGTCACCCGGGACCCCCCGGGGGGGGGGGGGGACGAGGCGCCTCCCTCCCTCCCGACCCACCTGAATCTCTGTGCCTGGTGGTGGACGGGGCCTCCGAACCTCCTAGCGGGCGAGTGGTACAGCTGGGAGAGCAGCGCCACGTTCTTGTTCTGGTTGGGGTTGGCGGCGAACTTCACTGTGATGGGCTCGGAGGAACCTGGGGGTTTATGACCATTGAAACTGGTAATTGCCTCTTCTGCTTCCGACCGTTTGTCAAACCGGATAAACGCAACCCCTCTGGACAAACCTTGTTAACAAACCAACAGAGACGGAGTTAGGGGGAGAAATGGGCGGCGCGGTGTTCTGTCAAGCTGCAAAGCAAAACGCAAGTCAGTGGGCGCGCTGGGCGGGCGGTCTGGCGCGGGGCCGTTCCCCCGCCCCCCTCCAGGCGGCGAAACCAGACCTCGCCGGGAAAGGGGCGAAAGGTTCTGAGCGGCAGCCTCAGGACCAAAGGGCGCGAGACACCCCAGGCTGTCGCCCAAAAGAACCCCTGCTGCTTCTCAGATTTAATTTTCTTTCGTTCTGGGGCCAGCCCAGTGGTGTCAAGGGCTGACTTCTGCCTCTGTGCTCGGGGATCACTCTGGTGGGCGCGGGGGACCCTAGGGGTGCCAGGGGTAGAACCCACGCAGAAGGTGTGCGAGGCCAGCAGTGAACTGACCCTCACTAGCTCATGTCCAGTACACAGGGTGCTAGGATGGACTGAGGAGCTGGTGAGAAGGGGGCTAGGAGTCGGGTCTGAGGAAAAGTCCCTGACGCCCACCTCCAACTATCGGCCCTACGAGGAGTAAGGAGCCCCAAGGGACCCTCCATGGACACAGGCACTGAGACTGGGACCACAGCGGCCCCCAGGCTCCCTCACCTGGGGCCACTCCACTCGAAGGCCCCGGGATGGCCCATGGCGACCAAATGCAGTGACTTGCCCTCTCCCAGCACGGCCAACGCCCCCACGATGGTGCCGACGCCACCCTCGGGCCCTCACAGGCTCAGGGGTCCTGTCTCGGGACCACTCCATACTCGGTACCTTCCCTGCCTGGGAAGGGCCAGGGGCACCCCTGGACCCCAACCGCCCCAGGAGGGCACCGTCCCTCGCCACCTCCATAGCCCCTGTGGCCAGCCCAGGCTCCACCGCTGGCAGTGATGGGGCCAGGCACCCCAACTCCAGCCTGGCACCCAACATTCCAAGTCTGGGAAGACGATGAAGCCATACCCCTTAAGGAGGAACTAGGGCTGGGGGGTGTGCAGAGGATAGGGGAGTGGGAGGGACCAAGCGTGAAGGTCAAAGGCCACGAGAGGTCAGAGTGGAGGTCTGGGGACCCTAGGGACATGGCCCTGGTGGGGAGGCAGGTCTCCAAGAAAGCCAGTCAGTGCCAATGCCTGCAGGCGCACAGCTGGGGACCGGGGCCCCCAAGTGAACAGGGCCCCTTTCAGTCAGCCCTGGCCCGACCTTATCCTCTGCAGCCCAGGTGGGTCCCTGCAGCAGGCCTGCGACACGGGGCCTCTAGAGGAACACTGAGGCTCTGGTACCACCCTCCTTGGGCCCCAGACAAGGATTCCTTCTTTACCGTCCCCCCCCCCCCCCCCACGCTGGACAGACCATCAAGGTTTCCTGGGGAAACTCCTACTCTGGGGGCCCCCAGCACAGCACCCTGGGAGGCCAGAGGCAGGCGGGGTCCACCCTACCCCCCCCCCAAGAATGGAAGCCATGAGGTTCCATCCATATTCACCCTTGGCGCTGGACAGCGACTTGAGCAGTCCACACGGGGCAGGAATGTTCTCGAGCCAGGGCTCGCTTGACTCTCTGAGGGTTTCGGAAAAAAACACCCCAACGTGCGGACTTGGCCAGCATTGCTGGACACCCCAGAAACAAGTGACCTCAGGCCCCGGGACTGAGTCCCGGACAAGACACAAGCATACGTGGACACGGGGGCCCTGCCCATGACAGCCACCACGCGGGGGGTGCGGGGACTGGAAGGAACCTAGGCCAGGGTGCGGGTGCTGAGGGACGTTGGGGGACACGGGCCCTGGCCCACGTGGGGTCCAACTGTCCCCGATGACTCTGCATCTGCTGCCGGTGCTCCCAGGGGGCTTACTTAGATGCCGGAGCAGAGCCTGGTGACAGGCCGAACCTGGGGACTGAGTCAGCCAGAAACTCAGGTCAGGGGCAAGCAAATGGCTGTGAGGGAGGCCCCAAGTTCTACCGCCAGGCCCGGCTGAGCCCACACTCGGGGGTAAAGCAGGCGACGACGGCCGCAGGGGGAGGTTTCTGATCTGCTGAGAGTCCTCCTCCCCCAGGCTTCGGAGGGTTCTGGTGCCCTGAAGGGGTCCACCCTTCCGCTCCCCAGGGCCACCCCGGGCTCATTCCCTGCAGTAGTGAAGGGGCCCAGAGGCCACAGGAGCTCAGTGGTGGCTGACCCGGGGAGTGGCCCTGGGACGCCCAAGGGTCCGGAAGACACCAGCTTTGCGGGCTTTCTGGGAGGCAAATCCCACCGCCAGGCTGCTCGGCCTCGGCGGCCCCAACCAGCAGCCTGTCTGGGCTCTGCAAAAGGAGGGTCGGAAGGCTGGGGGCGGGGGGGCCGGTGGAGAGGAGACCCCACAGTCATCGGGCAGCCTGCCCAGAAGCAGGGAACAGCTAGAACTCTGGGGAGCACAGAAAACTAACCTGGTGTAGAGCGGGGGGGGGGGGGGTCACACAAAGTCGATGGGGCCCCCCGCCCCTCTGGCCCAAAGCACAGCCGGCGGATGGGAGTCGGCCGTAAAGCCTGGTCTGGGGCTACAGTGGGGGTCTCCACTTCCCCTCCGTGGGCTGGGAGCCTCCAAGCCGCCCATTCCTAGGCATGTGGCCTCAGGGACACGTCGTGGAGCTCACGAGCCCCGGAGGGGCCGCGCCCTCCCACCGGCTCTATGGTGCCCGGGGCACCCACCATCGCCTGCCAACCACACGGGAGCACACGGGCTGAAGAACACACGACCCAGCCACAGAGACCCCCACCGGCTTCCCAGGGCTTCCTCCGCGAAGCCGGGCCCCCCAGCCTTACTGCTCTCCACACGGGGCCCACCGGGGCTGTCCTGACCCCAGGCCCTAAGGCCAGCAGGGCAGGTGGAGGCCCCCCCAACTCCCGCTTCTGCCCACCCAGGGGCCCGCGCGGGGACAGGCAGGGTTCCGCTACATGTTCCCTCACTGCTTAACGCCAACCTCTGCCACAGAGCAGGTCTGAGCTGAAAGGACCTGGGGGTGGGGTGGGGGAGGCGGGCGCCCACTGACCTTGAACTCAGGGCGGGGCATAGCGGGGGGGGGGGCAGCGCAGCCACAAGGCACCCGGGAGTTGTGGGGCAACAGCCAGAGGGGCCCCCGGCTCTGGCCTCGCCGGTGCCGCCTGGGGGCCGCCACCCCGAAACACTGGCCTCACCAGAGCACGCCTGGCCGGGCCGGCCTTCTAGAACAAAGGCCGCCGTCTGGTTCTTCCCGCGGCGGCCGTGGTCTGGAGGCTCGCCCGCCGCCCTACCTGTGGTCTGGTCCACCAGCACCCGTGAGTTGATGATGCGGCCGAAGCGCGAGAACATGTCCTCGACGTCCTTCTGGGTCATGGTCCGCGGGAGGCCGCTGATGTACAAATTGGCGTCTTTGATGACCTCTGAGCTGGGGCGCGCGTAGGACACCTGCCAAGACAGAGGCGCTTTCGGGGGTTTGGGCAGGGGCGAGAAAGCCCGGGGCTCTCACGGGGCCCCCGAGGGGAGCGGGGATCACTCCCCGCTTCCCGCGACGCGGCCCCGGGGGGCCACAGCACTGGGTACCTTGATGGTCTTGGACTGGAGCCGCAGGCCGTTGAGCGTGTTGATGGCCCTCTCCGCGTCCTTCGCGGTCACGTAGTTGACAAAGCCATAGCCCAAGCTGTGTCCTGCGTGGGAGACACGTGGACGGCAGGTCAAGTGACCAGGGTGGCGGGGAAGGGGAGCCGGGGGAGGGGCGGCGTGGCCGAGCAGAGGACAGGGCAGAGGCCGGGGAGGCCCGGAACAGGCCCTGGCCCCAACCCCCGGAGACCGATTCTCCAGCTCCTGCGAGCCTCGCTGGCAAACTTGTACCTTTCTGTAACCATCCTCTGACTTTGTTACTCTTGCCATCCGAGAAGGTTACTCGCCGACCACAGTCCCCAACCCTGGGGATCCTCCCACGCTGGGAGGTTTGGGAGGCGGGACTTTGGCGCCACCCGGCGTCCGTTGCCCCCTCCTTCCCCTGGGACCGGGCTGGGGAGCCAGGCAAGGAGTCGGGCCCACTGGGGGGCTCCCCTCCCCCCTCCCCCCCGGGTCCGGCGTGCGCCCACATGCGGGGAGCCCACAGAACTGCTTCCGGCTGTGGGCGTGTGCGGGCTGGGTCGGGGAGGTCACACGCTCAAAAGCCACTGGTGGGGGTGGGGGGTGGGGGGCCACACCGGGAAACTCAGACTCTGCAGGGCGCTGCAGGAAGCGGGCCTGGAGGTTTCCAGAGCAGTGCTGGCACGACCCACAGCATGCCGGGAGGGGCCCGGGGCCTCCCCCAAACTTTCCCTCCTGCTGGTTTCACGCAGCGAGTTTGCTACGAGTCTGATCCACACTAGGGGCAAGAGGAGGGGGGCTGGCTGTCGGTGTTGGGGGCCCCGCCGCGGGCCTGGGGCTTTTCTCCTGACCAGACAAACGCTGGGCAAGGGGCCAGCACGAGAGCTGGTCCAGGAGCGGGAGGCCGACCCCCGACACCGGCGAGGGCCCGGCCCTAGGATGGGGAGCACTTGAAGGCGAGTGTGACGGGGCAGACGGTGACTGCACACCCTGCAGGAAGTGTCCCGACCCCGCGCCTCGCTCCTCCCTTCTGCCTCTCACGCTGCTGGACCCGGGCGGCGGGGCTCAGCACATCTCTGTCCAGTGAAGGAAATATCCCCTTGCGCAAACTCTAGCTCCACCCAACTCCATCCGTCCGTCCATCTGCCCTTCGGACCAGGCACCCATATGTCCGTCCGCCCACCCACCCCCGCACCCTCAAGCCATCCGCCCACTAATACCGCCCGCGGTGAGCGCCAGGACACGGCTGGCGGGGCCCTGGGCTGGAGAATCTTACCATTCTACTGGACAAGACGGTTCTGAGCCCAGCACGGATGGGAATCCAGAGTGAGAGAAGGGAGCCCACGGCAGCAGGCTTTCTGCAATGCTCTGGGCACGCGCCAGAAGCACTGGGAAGGACTGGGCGCCCCCCGCCCCCAACCCTGGATCCCTCTCATACTCTGCCAACCTGGCCCCTAGATAAGCCAAGTTTCCCTCGAAGCTGAAATCACGGCCAGGTTACACCTCTGCCACTTGGCAAACTGGGTTCTCTCTGGCCGGCCCGCAGCTAACAGGCGAGCACTGGCCTAGGTCAGACTGGAGGCTGCGGTGCTGGCACCAACGGGGCTGAGACCCCCTGGCCCCCCAGAGCCACAGGGAGGACGGCAAGACCCGCCCGTTGGGAAGAATTGCAAATCCCCTCTGAACAAGGACTCCAACGTAGGACGGATCCCTAGGACAGGGAGGTAGTGGCTTCTGGGACATTCTAACACTCTTCCAGTCGAGGTATCGACTCAAGGTCCTACTCCGGAAACACACATCTACTGAGGGGAGAGAGTGTTCCCAGGCGGCGGTGCTCAGGAGATGTCTCCTGGAGGTCCTGGTCAATTCGGGAGGACAGGAAGCAGCTGCCACCCCCCGCCCCTGCGGTGCTGGGGCGCTCCAGGGCTGCACCAGGAGGTGCCCACGGGACCACGTGGCGTGGGGACTGAATCGGCCGGGCCACATGCAAGGCACCGCTCTCTCTTTCCTCCCCCCGTCGCTTTCTGGGTCACACCTGGTGATGCTCAGGGGTGACTCCTGGCTTTGCATTCAGGAATTCCTCCTGGTGGTGCTCAGGGGAACCGTGTGGGACGCCAAGAAATTGAACCTGGCTCAGCCACGTGCCTGGCAAACGCCCGGCCCGCTGTGCTAGTCTCTCTGGCCCCTTCGAAAGCTTTAGTTCCGGGGTGACAGCTGGCAGCGCTCAGGGCACTGACTCCTGGCTCTGCGCGTGGGGATCACTCCTGGCGGGCCGGGGGGGACTCTGTGGAATGTCGGGGATCGAATCCGGGGCTCCTGCACGCGAGGCAAGTGCCCTCCCCACCGTGCCATGGCCCCGGCCCAGCAGAGACCCCGTGGGTCAGAAGGGTCCTAAATTTTCTCTGAACCCTAGCTGTGCCCTCTGGCCCATCTGTCTCCGCACCAGGGCAGACTGGAGGAGTGGCATCACACAGAGCAGTGCCCACGGGGGTTGCACACAGCGCCCGGTTTCCGGTGAACTTGACCGGGCGCTTCGATTTCCTTCCGAAAAATACTGTCTGGCTTTTGGTTTTCGGTGGAGGGGCTCACATGTGCCAAAGCCCAGGGTCGTAGCCGGCACCATGCCGGGAAGTCCCTTTACTCCTCAGCACCCCACGGTGGGGCAGAGGGAGACTGGGGGGGGGGCTTCTCCCTGGGGAGGAAGCAAAGGAGGGAGCCCCTCCCCCACCACTAGGGTGCCCCAACCCAAGCCAGGGAGAGCACTGCGCCTGGAGGGGCTTCCCTGGCCCGGGGCCCTCCGCAGCCGTGGGCAGGGTGGGGAGCGGGGATGGGGGACCCTTACGAGGCGGGTGCCTTGATCTCCTCTCTGCACGGGGGCCTCCAGGTTCAAAGGCCACAATGAAGAAAGTGGGGAGCAGGGTTCGGGGCAGGGTTCCCCGTAGTGCCCCCACTCTGCGCTACTGACCTGCTCGAGAGGGGAGTGGGCCAGTCCGTGGGGCGGGGGGGGGGGGGCGGGGCGGCAGCCCGTCTGGGGTCCCACCTAATTCTCCGAGGGGCCCCACGTCTGCTGACTCCTCCTCGGCCCTCCCCTCCCTCCCCGAGTCTCCTTTCGCACACGTTCTCCGCCTTGCCGACCGGTCCCTCCTTGGGGGGACCCACCCCCGCCGGCGCAGGGGCAGAGAGAGCGGGCCTGGCCCCCGGCGCCCCAAGCTCCCCGCGTGGCAGAGACACCGGCCGGGGGCCGTTACCTGCGACTTTGTCCCGAATCAGCTTGGCGGACTCCACTTCCCCGATGCTGCTGAAGAGACTCCGCAGCTCGTCCTGCGTCATGTTCTGAGGGAGGTAGTTGACGATCAGATTCGTTCTCCCGATGTCATCCCTGCAGTCTTCGGCCATGTGGTCCTCATAACCATTAGACATTGTATTCTTCCGAAATCTGCCGAGCGGGAGGAGAGGACCCAGTCAGCGCCCAGGAAGCCAGAGCCAGCGGGAGCCGGTGGGGAGCGGGAGGCCGCGCCCACGCGCCCACGGGCCACCTTCGAGGGGACAGATGGCCCCGGGACGGGGCTTCCCGCAGCTCTGGCCAGGGCCGCCCCAAGCGGGAAGCCACCACGCGGCCCGTCGGGAGGCGCATGGAGACACGAGGCCCCGGGCTGGCCGCACAATGGGCTGCTTGTTCGGGGCGAGGGAGGACGGAGCGAGGCCGCCACGCTGACCGGCGCTGCAGGTTGCCAAGCAAAACGAAAGAGACGGCGAGGCGCGCACTGTCCAGTGCCGCGGGATGGGGTTCCGGGAAAGCTGAGCCTGGAGCGTGGGGGTGGGGGTGGGGTGGGGTGGGGCTTCAGCGATGGATCCATTTGTCCATGGCCACGGGTGTGACACAGGAAGGAGACCGAACGCCAAGACTGGGCCTTCGCAGGGATGCAGCCACTCCGGGCCACGAGGGACCCAGCCCAGCACCAGGGGGGTGGGGACCAAAGATGCAACGGTCCGGGGACCAACGTAGGACGGCGGGGCGGGCACTTGCCTTGCACGCAACTGCCTGGCTGTTGGCGCTCCGCACCCCGCACGGCTCCCTGAGCCCCACCAGGAGTGGCCCCTGAGGGCGGAGCCAGGAGTGACCCCCGCGCATAGCAGGTGCGACACCCGAACCAAACGAGATACGGGGCCAGACCAAGTAGTACAGGGGTCAAGGCACGTGTTTTGCACGCAGCCCACCCCGGTGCGCTCCCTGGCACCGCGTGTGGTGGCCCGGACAGCCGGAAGTGACCCCAGAGCACAGCCGTGTGTGGCCCAAATCCCCGCCCTCCAGATAAAGTCCACGTTTCTCATCTGATTGAAGAACTGCTTTGTTCTGGAACCACACCTGGCAGTTCTGTCATTTTGACACTCGGGTGTCAAAACCCAGTACCCAGCACCTAGGAGGGCTTCTGTAAGAAGTGCGGCGGGTGGTCTCTGGGGAGAGGGCCTGAGACTTCTGCTGGTCTCTGGCTCGTCTCCACACGGACGCATCTGGCGTGTGCTGGGACAACCCAGTCCGGCCCAGCCCAGGCCCAGCCGGTGGCCGGGGGTCTCCAGCCTGCAGCTGCTTGCAGAGATTTTTTCCATCATATTCCAGGGAGGCCGGGGGGTGCACAAGGAAAGTTCCCCCCGGTCTCCTCTCAGCACTGCCTCCAAACGCAGGCGAGCCCTCTGGGGGCTTGCCCCACCTCACTGAAAGTTTCTGCTGCCCCCCCACCCCCCCGGGCCCGGGACTCCTCATCCACCCAGAGTCGGGAATTACACAAAACCCTGCCGGCACCAACTGCCATGCCTGCCACGCGGAAACGAGGTACGGCGTCTTTCCTGGGGGGCCCGTCATGCCTCTGCTCCCGTTCTAGTCTCAAACTCGTCTCAGATTATTTCCGACGCGGAAACGGCGTTTCTCTCTTCTTCCTTTCTGGAAAACGTTCTCTCCTGCCCGCCCAATAGCAGGAGAACAATTAAGTAGGTCAGCTGCGCACGTCACTGAAGGTTTGTTTTTTTGGGCCGCACCCGGCAGTGCTCGGAGGTTACTCCTGGCTCCGTGCTCGGGGGTTTCGCCGGGTCTCTGTACTCAGGGGGTCCTGTGGTGCTGGGGATCGAGCCTGGGCCTCATGCACGCGAAGCCGGAGGAGTCGTCTCTCCCGCCTCCAAGCCATCAAAGATGATGAGGACGTCAGACACGAAAAACTTCCAGGTGGCAAAAGACACCACGACCAGGGCAGCAGGAGCCAGGGCGGAGGCACAGACGCCCGGGGCAGGGCTCGGACGGCCCCTTCTCATGCAGGACATGAGGTGCAGCCTCTGGGGACACTGGGCAACGCCAGGACACCTGTGTGTGTCCACACACTATGGCAGGTCATGGCGAAGACAGGGATGTGGTGCACTGGACAGCACCTCCACCCCAGCCAAGAGGTGTCCAGGCCCCGTGACTATTTCTGAGGTGGAGGAAGCTGGGGACACTGACAACAGTAAGAGAACACAGCCCAGCACTTCCCGTGCAGGAGCGGAAAAGGGATGTGAGCCGTGGCTCACAGATGCTGACAACTCACCCGGCCCCAAAGCGCAAGAAAGGGGCTCAAGCGGGGTAAGAACAAGGAAGACGGAAGCTGGGGAGGGCCAGTCTGTGTTCGGACCTGGCACCCCAGAGGGTCCCCTGAGTCCTGCCTGGAGTGATCCCTGAGCGCAGAGCCAGGAGTCAGCCCTGCGCATTGCCAGGTACAGCCTCAGACGAAACCACAGCAACACACGACAACAACAAAACCAATGTTCCTTTTTGACCATCAGATGAAGGAGGGGGGAAATAAAGCAATGAAACGGCTGTGAAAAGGAGCAAGAATCCTCCTAATCACGGAAATGAACACGACACAGAACAACTGTTTCGGGGGAAGGACTTGGCAATGCCTGTGGGCAGAGAGACTCCTCTGGTCGTCTGGAATCAGGGGCCTCCTCCCTGAGATGCCCGGACCCTGCACACGTGAGGATGCTGTCACTTAAGCTACACCCCAGCCCCTACCCCAAAACTTTGTGTGTGTGTGTGTGTGTGCGCGTGCGTGCATGTGTGGTCTGGGGGGCCACACCTGTCCTTGGAAAGCTCAGGGAATTGTGTGGGGCCATGCCCCCGAGCCTCCAGAGCCATCTTCTTGGCCCCATGCCAGGACTCTGCAGAAACATCCTTTTTTTTTTTGGCTCTTGCAGAGTCAGGGACGGAAGCTGGGGGTCCACACACGGAGGAGAAGGGCTCTCCTGGTGAGCTGTATCCCAGGTGGGCTCTACTCCAGCCTAAACTACGGAAGGAATCGCAGGCACACGTGGCAAGACTTGCAAGGAGCATCCCTTGGCTGTTAGAACTAACTTAAGGGTGAACCGAAGGATGAGAGTTAAATAAGTACCACTTTTCAGCACAAAGTACTGGACGAGGGGCCAGAGAGATAGTTCAGCAGGTAAAGAGTTTCCCTTGAAAATTGGGGCGGGGGGGTGGTCTGAAGGGATAGGAGGGACACTGGGGAAACTGAGGCTGGAAAATGACACTGGTGGAGAGACCGGGGTTGGAGCATCACAAGACTGAAATGCAATCATGAACAACAATGCCTTGTAACGTCCTCACGATTATTCAACAGAAGAAAAAAATATTAACAAGAAAAGTTTGCCTTGCATGCAGCCGACCTGGGTTTGATCCTCGGCACCCCCAAAGGTCCCCAGAGCCGTGCCAGGAGTGACTCTACTGGCAGAAGTAGAAGCAAGCCCCGAGCACTGCTAAGTGTGCCCCCAGGCCCAAAAGGAGTGTCAGAACACCAGCATGGATGGGCTGGAAGGAGGAGGCGTCCCCGACTCGGTCCATCACCTAACTGTGCGGTTAGGACACTTCACAAGTACATTATCAGCAACACACATTGGCGTGTGTGCACTGAACTTTGCTCTGACTCTGAGCTTTCTTCTCTCCTTCCTCCTCTTCTCACCCTTTCTCTGAGGCCCTATCTCTCTTCTGCTTCCCTGGACAACAGAACAGACAGGAATGACAACAACCCCAACCCCCCATCACCCACAATGAGACAGCCTCTGCCTCCTTGGGGAAAAAAAAAAAAAAAAAAAAAAAAAACAACCACCTTCAGGGCCAGAGCGACAGGACAGCAGAAAGGGCGTCTGCCTGGCACACCGCCGACCCGACCTGAGTTCAATCCCCGGCATCCCATAGGGTCCCCTGAGCACCACCAGGAGTGATCCCCGAGTGCAGAGCCAGGGGTAAACCCGGAGCACTGCCGGGAATGGCCCCCAAAGCTGAAAACAGACAAACATCACTTCCTAGAGAAGGGTCAGGACACCGTGCGTGGCCTGCTGTCTCTGCCTAGGAATAAAGCCGCCTGGCGCCCGACACATCTCCCCGCACGGTCCCCGGCCGCCTCTGCACTAGTGACAGTGAAGCGGCTGTGACAGGGCGCCTACCACCTCCCAGGCTCAACGTATGTCCCAGCTGGCTCTCCCGACGGAAGCAGCGTGCTGGTGTGCGCAGGCCGCGGCCAAGGCTATCTGAGCAGGGCTGGGCCTGGCGGGCGCGATCAGAGGGGCGTGACCTTCTGCGAGCGCCTCCTGGTCGCCGCCGCCAGCCACCCGCAAGGCCAAAGGGGAGAGAGAGCCGGGAGTGACGAAAGAAGTGACTCCCCCCTTCCCAAACAAAGAGTGTCCCCACCCACGGCCCCGCCCCAGCAACAGAAGACCGGCTCTGGGAAGTTAAAATAAACGCAGACAGGAAGGAAACGTTCACAGATTCCCGGACAGGAATCGGGAACGAGGGAGCCCTTCAGGGACTGGCCTGCATATGGCCAGGTTCAAACCCTGGCACCACAGGGGTCCTCCGAGCACCACCAGGCGCGATCCCGGAACACAGAACTGGGAGGAGCCTCTTAGCAAAGCTGGGTGAGGCCCAAACGAGACCCCGCGGCGCGGTGGGGAGGGCGCTGGCCTTGCATGGAGCCAACCCGGGCTTGATCCCCTGCATCCCGTTCGGTCCCCCGAGCACTACCAGGAATAATTAATTCCTGAGCAGAGAGCCAGGAGTTACCCCCGAGCACCACCGGGTGTGGCCCCAAAACTGGGGGGGGGGGGAGACCCACACACAAAAAAAACAACAACAAAAGATGGTACATGGCCGGCAGATAAAAAGGTGAAAAGATAATTATTTGCTACTTTATGAGGGAAATGCACGTTCCTAGAACGAGCAGATGCCACTGGGCTACGCTAGCACGCAACAGGGATGAATGGAGACGCTACTGGCGCCCGCTCCAGTAAATGGATGAGCAACGGGGTATCAACCCAACCCCTCCCCCTCCCCGCCCAACCCCCTCCCCACTGATGTACCCCTACCCAATTTGGAGAGGACATGGAGAAACTAGGTAACTTTCATGCACCCAGGTGGAA